TAGCTAGAATTTAACATTATTCATTATTTATTGTGGCTATTTTAATATATAAATGTAGGGACAGTTCTGATGCCAAGGTCCTGTTCCCCAACTGGTTCTTAATCTGTCAGTAAAGAAGCCATAGGCCAGATTGCTGGGCAGAAGGAATAGGCAGGACTTCTAGGTCCCTGGAGGAAAAGCAGACAGATGCAAGAGAGGAGAGGAGAGGTCCCCATGCTTTGGAGAGAGAACCAGGCACTCCTGTAAGATCTTCACAGGAGCAGCAACACAGGCACTCCTCTAGTCTGGTGGTCAGAGCTGTAAAGTTTAGGGCAGGTGAGAGGAGCAGAGATAAAAGAATACTGTTAAGGGCATGCTTTTCCAGGCAGGAGAGAGTAGCGCCCAGCAATCGTGTCCAAAGGCAAATTGAAAAGGAACAACTGTGTCTGTGACTTTTACCCGAGGATTCAAGGGAAGGTGCATTGGGGCTAGTAACACGGCCCATTCCTGGAACCAAGGCAGGGTAGTGAAAAGATACATACAACATATAAAAATTATTCAGCATTATCCTGATTTAGCCAGATTACGTTAGAGAAGTTTCCTTATTCTTGCTCAGGACTCATTTGACTCAATGTCTTTATTTAGAAACAATGCGTTACAGTGGGCAGGGACCTTAGCAATTATGCAGTCCAAACTCCTCATTTACCTGTGCCTAAAACTGGAAAAGACAGGATAGCGGGTAGGAATATGTGGATATATTTGGTTTGTTATGTAACAAAAGCTGCTAATTATATATGTTTAAATTTTTTTTCTTTAAAAAGCAACAATATAAAGAAACAAATGTGGACAGTATAGTCAGGTCTGGTTTGAAAATTGGCTTTGTAGTGGTCACATTACTTAACTTCATTGTATTTGACTTTGCTCATTAGTACCATGGAGATAAATGTGTCTCAGGCGATTGTTGTAGGACATAAAGTTGCTATGAAATAGTAATAGCACCCTAAACAATGCTTGGCTGGTATGCAGCAAGCAAAATCTAAGAGTCTCCCACATTAAAGATGTTGCACCATTCAGTCATATACCTTTGTAACTCTGAACACATGAATACCTTGAACCCAAAGGCCTAACAGTAAACAGAAAGAGTTTGAAAACTAATTTCCAAAAAAGAAAAAAAGAAAACAGTGAGAAAATAAAACTATTTTTTCCTATTTTATCTGCCATTTACCTTCTGATAACTCCTGATTTCTGTCACTATTGACAAACTTAAAATATTAGGATTAGACCTTTGAATATTAAACCTAGATTACCAAGCATAACTGATGCACTGATATTTCCTTTATCTTTGTTCTTTGCTAGAATTTCAAAAGAAATCAAATTTAACACTTAGATCTGATTCGTTGGACCAGTGGTTCTCAACCTTCCTAATGCTGCGACCTCATGTTGTGATTCCCAACTATAAGATTATTTTAGTTGCTACTACCTAGCTGTAATTTTACTACTGTTATGAGATCTTAATGTAAATATCTGTGTTTTCTGATGGTCTTAGGCAACCCCTGTGAAGGCACTGTTTGACCTGCAAAGGGGTTGCAACCCACAGGTCAAGAACCACTGTTTTAGAGGCAGACTCTGAGACAGGGATTCAGGCACAAATGGTTATTGAGTAAATATTCTTCGGAAAACATAAGGAAGGAAATTAAAGATGGTGGATAGCAAAGAGAAAACCAACACAAATGGAGACATGGTCGTGGATAAATTCTTGTAGCTCTGGCATGAATCACTCAGCAGAAGAATTGTTTTGTAGCAAGAAGGTCAGTATGTGGGAGGAGAGGCTTGGGTGGTGGCTCCCATTAACCAAGATGGCCAAAATAGCTGTGCCATAAGCAGGAAACGCTCAGAACTTTGGCAAATACGTTACAATCTAGGCAAGGTGATCAAGTCAGCACTGCAGTTTCTTTAAAAGGTTTGTTTCCAAATCCATTTTTCATTTGCATCCAAGATGTGACGAATTATACTGCTAAGAAAGGGTTCAGTCAATTGCGGGTCAGCCGTGCAAAGATGGCAATACACACAGTGTTTAATGAAAACGAAGACCTGAATAGACATGTCCTTTCACTAGATAGAGAATCGCTGGAACCTGATATCACTTGCTGCCAGTGATGAGTAAAGCATGGTCTGTTTGAAGTTCAGGAATCTTCTGTCCAGTTTAGGTTACATTCTTGCCTTCAGCCCAACTCTCAAACATCGGAGCTTTTGAAAGAGGAACTTAGACGCTGTGTTTGCTAAAAGAGGCTTGGCTCCTTCCGTGAGCTCACAGTACAACTAAAAGCAGAGTGAAACTCTGTTTCCTTTATACTTGCGCTGCAAACACAGCTATGGCTGCTGTTCGTAAGCTTTCCTTCTGAGTCACCTTGGGATCCAAACATAACTCTGTAGAACAGACCACCTTTTAAATGACAGTAATTGCTTAGAAAGGTGAGGAAGCTATACGGTGGGGACACCTTGAATGAACCAGATTGATGTCCTCGGGGCCTGATACTGATAAGGACTGGCGGACCATCAGTTTAACCAGAATTTCGACAAGATTAGCCAGACCACACCTTGGCCTGGACTGCTCAATCACGTATTCCTTCTACACAGTTCTTAAGTACCTCAAAAATGGAGCTGGATTTTTTTTTTCTCTTCCCAAAGTGGTTGCATTGAATAAATCTCCTTTTTCTGTATTGTATCATGCATCACGTTAGATTGGCATACTGGGGACAAGCAGCCTAGCCTACTTTTGAGGTGACTTCTAGAGACCAAGATTTTGTCCTAAGAACTCCAATTACAACCTCAGAGAAATTTAGACATGAAAAAGGAAAAGTCATGTGAAGTGAGAGTGATTGGGTCGCAATTGGAACATCACAGACTGTTTTATATAGTGGAAAAGAATGAATTTAAATCTGAGCTTAATTTTCACAGGTTATAGGAATTTCAGCCAAGTAAAGACTGTGTAGAAACCCAGAGATCAGCAACAGGAGAGAGTCACTGCAATGCTGAAGCTGGAGGAAGACCTGGAGTGACTCTCTCCTGTCTGTTCAGTGGACTCATGCAGAAGTAAATGCATTTCAGGGAAGAAGGAGATGTTTTCCGGCTTCTTTCTTTCTGTGGTCCTCCAGTGCTCTGCTAGAGCCTCTCCCGGGCTTAACCCAACTGAATGTGCCTTACTTACAAGCTGGGAAACGTGCTCTGTAGGGTCAGGGCCTCTACAATCCACATCAGAGCAGAGGAAGGGGAGAAACTGCTTCAACAGGAAGAGTCAAGGACAGGTACGACAATAATTGCTAAAATAACTGGAAGGCTGAAGTTTGGGCTTCTGAGTTCCCAGGACCAAAGTGTCATTCAGAGAGAGTAGCATGTGTCCTATCTTCTGATTCATTCCCTTATGGCTCTTAAGAGTTTCTGTTTAGCTAACTTTTGAAATCATTTGTTGATAACAAGATTTCATATGTGATGTTCCTTGTGGATTTCATGCAGTAAAGACTTATAGTAGTACCCACCACTATATTTTGTGGCTTCACCCTCTAGCCACAGAATACAGAAGGAGGTTTATTTGGGCCAATCAAATTTGTCTCCCTAGACCTGGGAGTCACATGCTCTCTATATATTATGTTGCCAGATATCAATTGCAGTAGGTTATGATATGGAAACTTGGGTAATATGCTCTATTTTCTGTCCACAAGAGTAAATGCTAAAGTAGCTTTAACCTATAAAGCAAACTGGAATAAATTTACAGAAAGAAACAGAGAAATGGAGAGTCAAGGAAGTGCAGCTTGCAGTCCCTAAAATTGTACAGTTTCAGGCTCTGGGTCTTCAGAAGGCCTGCTTTCACTTCCTGTTGCTGATTAAGAGAAAGACTATGTAAATACTACATGGCTTTTATAAATTCTCCCTCCTTTGTTTTAGTCTTTCCCAGAGGCTTTTCTATTACACACAAGTAAAAGAATCCTTACCAAGGTAATGTTTCACAAACAGTTTGAAAAATTAAATTATGGGCCAGCAAGATGGCTCAGTGGATGAAGGCACTTTCCACCAAGCCTGACAACCTGAGTTCCATCACGGGGACCCACCTGGCAGATGGGGAGAATCAGCTCCTGCAAGTTATTCTTTGACCTCCGGTTGTAGGCCTTGGTACTCATGAACCCACGCACAGACACAAATGTAAGTAACGTCACAAAGAATTTTATTACAGTTAAATTACATTCACTTTTTCACATCTCATCCTTGCTCTAAGATAATGAGGAAGACAAGTGTTTAATACCGACCATTTTCTAAGGAGTCACTCCTATGCTGAAATGATTTTGTATTTGTACTCTCTGTTAGGATGGAAAGAACAGCCAGCATGGGACCAGGACTGACTTGACATGTTGACCCAATCCTTATGTAATGATGGGATGGATACAGATACACATTATAATGTTTGACAGATACAAGAAGAATATTACTCTGTGGTAGTTTGGATAGGAATGGCCCTCCTAGACTCATGTGTTTGGGCATTAGGAGGCACGGTCTTGTTGGAGGATGGGTTTGGAGTTCTCCTCTATGCTCAATGTGGTACCCAGACTCTCCTTGCTACCTGTAGAACAAGCTGTAGAACTACCAGTTCTATTTCCAGCACCCTGTCAGACTGCACACTGCCATGCTCCCTGACATGACAGTGATGGACTAAACCTCTGAAACCGTAAGCCACTCTAATTAAATGTTTTCCTTTGTAAACATTACCATAGTCATGGTGTCTCTTCAAAGCAATGAAACCCCAAGACACACTTTGACAATTTTCTATTTTAGGTCAAGCTCCTGCTACTGTCCAAAGACCATAGGTTTACCATGTCTTTAGAGACATTGTCAGACCACTTTAATGTATGGCCTTATTCTGGTCTGGCCTCCACTCCTAAATAGCAGTTTTGTGATCATTGGATAAATAGGTTGAAGTATCCTATTGTCACACCTATCAAGAGAGCTACATGTATTTGTATGCACCTCAAAGCTTTGCACAGTGGCAGTATCATAGCCAATGAGTTTTATCCGAGGCCTGATTATAGGTAATTGAAAACTTTATGCACCTCAAAACACTGGCCCTCTAGAAATGTCTAGGGGGTACCTGAGTCCTATATCCATCCTTTTTATAGTATATTTTCTATGAAATCATCTGTCTAAGAACCTAATATGTTTACCACTTCTTGTTTTACAGTTTATTTCATCATTATGTTATTTTAGCAGTGAAACAAGATGATGCCAAGATGAGAGAAGACCTATGTGCTAAAATGAGCTGACCTCTTAATCTTACAATATCCTTCCAAAATATTCCCCTTTACCCTACTTAGCTTGGGTCAGTTTCCATAGTTTTCAGCTGTATTTTTTTAATGGTCTTTGAAATATATCTGCATATATGCATATACTACATACATCACTATTTCTGCTTTTTTCCAGTGGTGGACTTACTTATAGTTAGTGTGGTGGCTAACTCCAAGATTGTCATCTTGACTGCATTTGGAATTAACAAATACTCAAGGGGCTGGGCATACCCTTGAGGGATGTTTTCTTGGCTAAGTCATTTGAAGTGGAAAGACCTACTTATACTCCATCTATTTTAAGGTGGGAAGAAATGCCTTTAATACAGATCTTTTGAGGTTGGGAATCTGGGCCACACCTTCTGATGGCAATTACATAAAAGACACAGAAGAAGGAAGTTTGCTTTCTTTGACTGCTTTCCTTCACTGACAAGTCCATTCCTTCCCTGGCATTAGAGCCTACTTCTTCAAGGTTCCAGTGTATACTGAAGACCAGCTGAGACACTCAGCCTCATGGACTGAACAGCTTTTGTGTTTTTAGACTTTCTGTTGGTTGACAGCCATTGTTGGACTAGCTAGACCCCAGCCTGTAAGCTATTCTAATAAATTCATCCCTCCTTTCTCTCTCCCTCCCCCTCTAATAAGTATAATTATGTAAGTTTATAATATAGAAAATATAATATTATGTAGAGACAATAACATATATAACTTTATAAGTTTTGTTCCTCTAGAGAACCCTAATACAGTCAATTCTCAGGCATACTTTGTCTTCTGTATCATGCTTTAAATAGAACATTGTCAGGATGGAACTCCATAATTCTTTGAGATCCCTTGTAATTCTTCAAATGAATAAAAGAAACTTAAGCACCCAGCTGGTCTGCCTTCTTCACGCTCACTGGGACATACACTGTGTTTCTTCAAACCTTCTGTTTTGTTATACTCCAGATTTCTCCGTATCTTGCTCCATCCAAAGATCCAGGCTTACTTCTTTACTTTCTGTTATTACAAAAAAAATCCATTGATTCTTTTTTTCTCTCTCTCTTTTTATTGGATATTTTATGTATTTACATTTCAAATGTTATCCCCTTTCCTGATTTCTCCTCAGGAAACTCCCTATCCCATCTCCACTCCCCTGCTTCTGTGAGGGTGCTCTCCTACCCACCCACCCACTCCAACCTCACTGCCCTGGCATTCCCCTACACTGGAGCATCTAGCCTTCAAAGGACCAAGGGCCTCTCCCTCCACTGATGCCAGATAAGGCCATCCTCTGCTACATATGTGGCTGGAGTCATGGGTCCCTCCATGTGTACTCTTTAGTTGGTGGTTTAGTCCCTGGGTGCTCTGGGGTGTCTGGTTGGTTGATATTGTTGTTCTTCCTATGGGGTTGCAACCCCCTTCAGCTCCTTTACTCCTTTCTCCTTTCTCTAACTCTTCCATTGGGGTCCCTATGCTCAGTCCAATGGTTGGCTGTGGGCATCTGCCTCTGAATTTGTCAGGCTCTGGTAGAGCCTCTCAGGAGACAGCTATATCAGGCTCCTGTCAACAAGCACTTCTTGGCATCCACAATAGTGTCTGGGTTTGGTGTCTGTATATGGAATGGATCCCCAGGTGGGGCAGTGTCTGGATGGCCTTTCCTTCAGTCTCTGGTCCACACTTTGTCCCTGTATTTTCTTTAGACAGAAGTCATTCTGGGTTAAAAATTTGGAAATGAGTGGGTGGCCCCCTCTCCCAACCAGGGGCCTTCTGATAAATATATCATATAAATGTGTTCAAATACCTCTCACTTTAAATAAAACTACTTTTCTTAAAATAGTTAAGGAATTTAAATAATTAAATGAACTATCTTGATTAGTCATTAACCTGTATTTTCCCATGCATAGCCAATTTATAAAGACTAGACTACCCCTTGCCCAGTCTCCTTTTTTTTCCTTTAAGCAATGAAGTCTCATTTCCACTGCCAATATTCCATTAACTAAGAGCACCAATGCTCACTATTAGATGATTAAAAGTATTTGAGACTTCAGTTATGTGATATTGATAAGTATGACCTTTTCTTCTTTGCTTGCTGTCTAGATCTATGCTGTCTGTCTCTGATAAGTTAAATGTTCACTTACTGTCTTCTCTGTGGCTTCACATCTTAAATATTGATAACCCTATAATTCTATCATCTTGCTCTTTTATTTGGCTTCGACTATAAGAAGGCCGAACACAGTATTTAATATGAGGTCACTTTGCTCACTCTACTTGACAGATCAATATAAACAATTACTACTAAACACACACTATCTACCAGACCCTACATTGAGTGCCTTAGCTATATCCTCACTGAATTTATCCTTCCATGGCTTTCTATAGGCTTTATTAGTAACATATTCCAATAACCTGCACAACGTCAGTGAGAGAGCTGGTTCAAGTATGATCTGTTGCTAGCAGGACCTATACTTTTATTAGTAATTATTAATGGCTTGATTCCCGGATATCTTTCCCGAGGACCAGAGCAGCAGCCACAAACTGATAGATTTTTATAGAAAAATAGGAACTAATAGACTGTATTCCAAATCTTCCCTTTTCAGTATGTTCAGGCTTATTAAATAACAAATTCCACCAAGCCATACAAATAGAAGGTTTAGTAGTATCCTGTCCTCATATCCTCACCCTATCCCTGTCCTTTAATTACCAGCTACCACATCGTGCCAAACTTATATAAGCTTTTGCCAGTACTGCTTTTCATGGCTTCTTATATGTAAGGATAATCTCTTGTGTACTATATGGAAACATCACCTGAAAGTAAAAATCTAATGGCCTATCGACAAAAGGCAGGAAATAGAAGGCAGGAGTTCTGGTAGAGAGATTAGAACTCTGGGAGATAGTCAGAGGTGGGAGATTTGCCCCAGGCTTGGAGGAAGTCAGATGAATGAAACTGAGGTAATTAACTAGCCATGTGGCAGGCATAGAATAGTTTAAATGGGTTAAATGAGAAGAATTAGTGGGGGAGAATGCCTAGCTTTTGACCTAGGCATTTTTAATAAATAACAAGCTGTTGTCTGGGAACTGGAGTGCAGGTGGAAAAGGTTGAAGTTTCACTTGTATCCCAATTCAAGCATTGTTAAACACTTAAGTAGAACCCCTGTGTTTGGTCTCCATACACACCAGAAAATGGTATCTGATCCCAATATAGATGGTTGTGGGCCACCATGTGGTTGCTGGGAATTGAACTCAGGACTTCTGGAGAGCAATCAGTTCTCTTAACTGTGGAGCCATCTCTCCAACCCTTTTCTTTTCAACCCTGCTTCTTTTTCACTGACTCTCCTAACATATAGAAATCTTATAAGCAAATAAAATTTTCTTTTGAAAATGATAGTGACATTTAATGACAGATGCATGTTCAATAATAATGTTGCATTTCCCAGAAAAATAAAAAAACATTATATCTAAATAGTTTAAATATACTACATTGCTATTACTACTATGCACTATTCTTTCAAAAGTACATTACATACTAAGAATCTACATATTTTGAACATCTTGATTTTATTTGTTTGTTTTGGTATTTTGTTATTTTGAGACAGAGTTTCTCTGTGTAATAGCTCTGGATGTTCTGGACTCGCTTTCTAAACCAGGCTGGTCTTGAACTTATAGCGATTCACCTGCCTCTGCCTCTTGAGTGCTAGGACTAAAGGAATATGCCACCATGCCCAGCTCAAGCATGTTGTTCTTCATTGAAAAGTACATTTAGTTTTTAAAAGTTAACGATTTTCCTTGGAAAATTAACTTGATTTCTAGAAAAATTTGATTTTAATTTTATGAGTATTATTACTCTGTGGACAATGAAAGAGAGGAACTAAGAGATGATTTGCTTATGTTTAAGAGATGATATGTTTATTTGTATATTGTGGTGGTTTGAATGTGCTTGGCCTAGGGAGTGCTGCTACTGGGAGATGTGGCCTTGTTGGAGTTGGAGTAGGTGTTGCTTTATCGGAGGAAGTGTGTCACTGTGGGCTTGAGATCTTCCTCCTAGCTATGTGGAAGCCAGTATTCTACTGTTTGCCTTAGGAACAAGATGTAGAAGTCTTGGCTCATTCAGTGCCATGCCTGCCTGGATGCTGCCATGCTTCCTGCCTTGTTGATAATGGAGTGAACTTCTGAACCTGTAAGCCAGCACCAGTTAAATCTTGTCTTTTATAAGAGTTGCTTTGGTCATGGTCATTTCTCTTCACAGCAATGGAAACCCTAAGGCATATATGCTATTTGTTTATTTTGTAAGTAAGTTGAGACAGATAGGAAAGGATGGCCATATCATTATATATAAGGCCAAAAACTGACAATATACAAGGACATATTAGAGCTTTTTGTAAATCAAGGGTTTAAATGAAATCATATGTTCACATCATATGAATCACAGAAAATTCATTACATAACACCAGATATATGTTGAGATGGAGAAAAAAGACTTAGGGTCTGTTATTTTAATAACTAACTCCTTAATTCCCTTCTCAGTTTACATAAATTTCTCGGAAATAATGTCCAGTAATAAAATAACCTATCTATTCAAAATTAAAACAACAGAAGGCAAATGCTTGTTTAGTAAAGGAAAATATATGTTTATATAGTTCACTTACAGCAAGGTTGGAGTCAAAGAGCAACTGCTTTTGTGAAGGGCCCTTGTATAGTCAACACTTCTTCAGCCATTTCATAACTCCAACAGAACAGGCCTTCCTCTTGATAACCACATTTATTTAAATCAATATTATGAGTGAATCTTTTTCTACCCAAAAGTAGCAAACAATGCATTCTTTCTGCTTCTTGCATAAGCAAACATTGTCCCAAGGACATGGGAC